GACTCACCCGCCCGTCCAGCTCCTGCTTCAAGGGCAGACGTGCCCGGAAGGGATTTACAGAAGCAGCTGCCCTCTGACCTCCTTTGGCTTCTCCTTCTTAACTACTGCTCTCCCTGGAAAAGTGACAGGCGGTTCCCCCAGATGAACGTGGCCAGGGGCTGGTGATCTTTCCTAGCGAACAAGTCCGATAGGTAAAAACAGGACAAAACAAAACAAAACAAAGCATCTGAAAGTGAGAGATGATCCAGCCTCTCCTCAGCCTCCCCCGCTGAGATGGCAGAGAATTCAAGAGATTCTTTCCCTGCACAGTTGTGATGCACAGTGTCCTGAACACCTGGGGCGCTGCTGTCAATGGAAACCCTCCCTGGGCCTCGTGGGGGTTGAGCTTTAAGGTGTCTTGGCGTTTCAAGGTTTCCTCACCCTGTTGCTGATGTCTTTGTCCTGGTGGAACAAGGGGAGGGTTCTTTCTCAACAGTTTATTTTGAGAAGTCCTCAAACCTACAGAGGCACCCTGGGGACAGCAGCCCCCTGCACCTGGATTCTCGGCCAGGGGCCTTGGCCACGTTTGTGCCCCAACCCCTTCCTCTCTGTCTCTCTCTGTCTCTGTCCCTCTCTCTCTGTCTCTCCATCTCTGTCTCTGCATTTCCCTCTCACATTTTCCGGAACCATTTGCATGTGAGGACACCACCGCCTTCAAGCTAAGACGCGACACGAAGGCTGGGATCCGAAGACCTGTCTGAGGTCTCCCTGTAAGTTAATGTTGGATCTTCCTTGCGGTCCAGTCTCCCTGAAGGCCCCAACCTCAGCCCTTATGGAAAGTTATTCCCAGGCCCTGGGGACACTGAATTGAGCTGTCCTGTTGCTCTCCTGGCCCTTATTCCAGGACACAACACAGTTGCTCTGAGCGGCCAGGTGTAGGGTTGGTTTTGGGAAACGCATTCCCTGCAGGGTCCCTCTCCCACCATCCCCCAACCCCCAGCCGGCCAGCTGAAACCGGCAGAGACCAGAGCCCCCGCCCAGCCCTGACACTCGGTCGTGCCCTTTGACCCCCTGTGGCGGTGCCCTGGTGCCCCGAGTCCCCCAGCATGTCCTGCTGTCAGTGCCTCACTCTGTCCCTTTAAGGCTCTCAGGGTCCTGCTCACCTGGGCGTGGGGTGGGGCTCAGCTGGGCGGAGGCGACAGCTGTGGACACAGATAAGCTTCCCCCTCCAGGGCCTCAGGCCTCCAAACACCGCCAGGCCTCCACTGATCTCCGTCCAGCTGGAGCCACCCCAGGTCCCCGCCGCCGGCCCTCCCCCGTCCCAATCAAGGACTTACTGGAGGATGGCACAGATCCCTGAAAACTGCAGCGTCCGGTGGCCCTGCTGGAGGTGTGATGCCGAAATCCTTCCGCAGCTGAACTGCGGGAAGGCGGCGGCCAGAGGGCAGCTGTGCACCCTCAGCAGCCAAGGGCGCCGGGACAGCCCATGTGTCCCTCGACGGATAAATGGACGAATGCCATGTGGTCTCTCCACACATGGGAACGTCACTCAGCCTGAAAAGGAGAGAAGCCCTGACACTCGCCACCACGTGGACGGACCTTGAGAACAGGATGCTCAGTGAGAGAAGCCAGACACAGAAGGACACACAGGGTGTGACTCCATTGATGGGAAACGCCCAGAACAGGCAGGGAATGTGCAAAGTGCCAACCTGCCAGCTCTGGAGGTGGGGCATACCGCTGCTCTCTGCAGGGCCTTCAGCTTCTCTGCAGGCTGGAAGATGCACACAGGAACGGCTGGGGTGCGTCTGGTGGGGTCAGGTGCTCAGCCCTCTCCCTTTACTGGGAGTGCGGCGCTGGCTTCGTGAGGCCCCAGACCTTCAGAGACAAGCCTAGGTCCCTCCATCGGGGCTCCCCAACCCCGCCCGCTGCCATGGGGGGCTCACCGTCTGTGGGGCATCCTGGGCACCGTGGGGTGTGGAGCGGCCTCCCCGGCCCCATGTTCTCAACGCTACAGCCCCCAAGTCCTAGGGACCACAGACATCCCCAGTTGTGGCTCCGTGTCCCTGGGACAGAATTGCCCCAGGTGAGACCCCCGGGTCTACAGGAGCGTGGAAATGTGAGCGAGGTGCTCGATGGAACACCCCATGGGAATGGTGTGGGTGGCCAGGCGGGAGGACTGTCACACTTGAGGGAAGGACCCGGGCACAGAGCAGTATCCTCGGGGACGCACAGGCAGGCAGGACCCATTTCGGGGATGGGAACCCAGAGGCGGAAACCTTGCTGGGGAGGAGGCTTGTGGAGCTCCTGCTCTGTCTGTCGACCTAGGCGCTGGTTACACAGGGGTGTTTGCCTGGGGTGTTTGTCAAGCACTCAGCAGTCCTCCAATGCCCAGAGGATGCCATCCTGAAGATTTAACTCAGTTCTGACCCTCTCTGCCCAGAGTCGGTCAGACCCCCAGGTTACAGGCCAGCCCCACATGTCTGTCCCCACCTCACACATCCATCCCAAGTCCACCATGTCCCCTGAGCTTCTGACTGACCAGCTATTGGGGTTCCTGCCACCCATCTCCTCGGGTTTGATTAACTTGCTAGAGCAAACAAATGGGACCTGATTAAACTTAAGAGCTTTTGCACAGCAAAGGAAACCATCAAAAAAACGAAAAGACAGCCCACGGAATGGGAGAAAATATGTGCAAACGAAGCAACCCACAAGGGATTAATCTCCAAAATATAAAATCAGCTCATGTGGCTCAAAATAAAACAAACAAACAACCCAATCGAAAAATGGGCAGAAGATCTAAATAGACATGTCTCCAAAGAAGACATACAGATGGCCAAGAAGCACATGAAAAGATGCTCAACGTTGCTAATTATTAAGGAAATGCAAATCAAAACTACAAGGAGGTATCACCTCACACCGGTCAGAATGGCCATCATCAAAAAGTCTATAAATAGTAAATGCTGGAGAGGGTGTGGAGAGAAAGGAACCCTCTTGCACTGCTGGTGGGAATGTAAATTGGTGCAGCCACTATGGAGAACAGTATGGAGGTTCCTTAAAAAACTAAAAATAGGGCTTCCCTTGTGGCACAGTGGTTGAGTTCGCCTGCCGATGCAGGGGACGCGGGTTCGTGCCCCGGTCCAGGAGGATCCCACGTGCCGCGGAGCGGCTGGGCCCGTGAGCCGTGGTCGCTGAGCCTGCGCGTCTGGAGCCTGTGCTCCGCAACGGGAGAGGCCACAACAGTGAGAGGCCTGCGTACTGCCAAAAAAAAAAAAAAAAAAAAAAACTGTTCTAAAAAAATAAAGTCTATTAAAAAAAAAAAGATAAAGAAGCTTTAGCAGTTTGGAAAAGAAAAAAGAGAGAGAGAGAGAAGGTGGGTGGTCTCCGTCCTCCTCCTCCTTTTCATCCTTCCTTCTCTCTGGCTCTGAAATAAAGATGGCAAGGGTTTCCTAAAGCATCTTAACACTTTGCAGGAGGCCTGGAACTCAGTCTGTGCTCAGCAGACAAGAAATTCTGCTGCCATCACCGAAGGGGAAAAGCCCTTGCCTTCTGATGGGCAAACTCCACTTCTGGGCCCATAGCCCAGACAAGCGGATACGGGCGGCAGGTGGGGGCCGGGAGCTGCTCCCTGGCCTGGGCTGAGGCAGTGCCGGGCTGGCTGCCTGAGCAGTGGCCTTTCCTGCTTAGAAAACCCTCAGATGAGGACGGAAGGCACCAGAGGCAGTTACTTCCTGGGAAAAAGGTTATCGATGGATGACGTGGGGCACTTTTTTCCCTTGGCGGGTTTTGTCCTTTTAACTTCTCGCCCATGTGCTGTAGTCACTATGCAAAAGCTCCATTCGAGACAAGCCTGTGAGGGGCTGAGCGATCTCCTGGGGTCAGGGATGTGAATGTTGCAGGGCTTGTGTTGTTCACATCTGTCCTTGCTGTCGGAGCAGCAAATCCTTGAGTGAGATCTGTGCATTCCGCCGCGTAGGAGGGAGAGACAGGGCGCTAAATAAGCCCTGCAATGCCGGCCATGTCCCCACAGGGCAGTGTCTGTCTGCTGTGAGATGCAACAAAGCCAGATGGACAGACAGACGGACAGTGGACCAAGAAGCAGGCACATCACCTGCTCCTGGCAGAACCTGCATGGGGGGCACCTAGGTGTTCAGTGTGCGGTTATTTCAACGTGGCTGTGTGTTTGAGGTTTTCAGAGTAAAAGTAAAAGACTCTGCTGGAAAACAGCAGTTCCACAAACTGTTCAACAGAAAGTCACCACGTGGCCCAGCAAGCCCTCCCTCATCGGCGCAGGCCCGGGAGAACTGAAAACACACGTCCACACACGCGTCTGTGCGCCCATGGCCACAGCAGCCAGGGTGGAAACAGCCCAGGTGTCCACGGACAGGTGAGCAGATACACACACATGTCCCTCCACACCCAGGAACATCACTCGGTAGCCCCGACACTCGCTACAACGTGGACAGACCTTGAGAACACGATGCTCCGTGAGAGAAGCCAGACGTGGACACACAGGGTGTGATTCCATTGACGGGAAGCATCCAGAACAGGCAAATCCACAGACACAGAGGGTGGATTCCTGGTGGTCAGGGGCTGGGGGAGGGGCTGGGGTTGCTTTTGGGGTGATGGAATGTTCTGGAACTGGACAGAGGGGCTGGTTGCACAACCCTGGTAATGTACCGAAAACCACTGCATTACACACTTTTCAAAAGGGTGAATTGTATGGCGTGTGAATTATATCTCAATAAAGGCAGTACCAAAATAAAAAAGAGAGGGGGAAGAAGATCCCTGGCTGCTTTCTCCGTGTCTCCCTCTGGCTCCCCAGTGCCCAGCCCACCCCCTGCCAGAGGGAATCTGGCTTCGGAACCCAGTGGCCAGCGCTGCCCCCTGCCAGGCGCCCTTGGGGCCCTCGCCAGCTGCTGGGCCGCCTGGGAAGCCTCAAACCTGCAACCTCTGTTTTGTAAATGGGGAACTCTCATTCCCCCTGCCCCCCCACCCCCGCATGAGGCAGAATCCAGGCCGGCTCATGCCATTTCCTTATTAGAGTTTATTGGTCCCCTGACACATGCAGGCCCCCGGCCGCCCCTCCCTGCAATCCTGCTGGCGCACAGAAGGGGAGTCGGGCCACCTCTGGAGGGTCGGGTTAGGGAAGTGGGCCGCTAGTGGCCGATGACCTTCTTGATCCAGGATGTATAGGGGGCCACGGCGGTGGCCACGGGGGGTTTGAAGATGTTGGTGCAGACCTTAGAGCTGAAGGACAGGATTCCAGCCACTTGGCCTCTGCTGCACATCACAGGTCCTCCCGAGTCCCCCTGCCGAAACAACAGAGCACCGGTCACCTTGCTGCCCACTGCGGGAGGTGGGGGGCGGGAGGCTGATTCCAGAGCAGAGACCCCTGCCCCCCTCTCCCTGCACCCTCCGTCCCCCAACCTCCTTCATTCCCTCCTCCCTTCCTTTCCTTTAAACTCTCTTTGCTCCTTCTTCCCACCGCAGGGCCTTTGCACATGCTCTATCTATGCCCTGATCTTCCTGGGTGCTGGAGTTCAAACCCCAGCTCTGCTGCTGGCTATGTGACCATGGGCAACCTCTCTGTGCCTCAGTTTCTGCACTTGAGAAATGGGCTCACGCTCGTGCCAACCTTCAGGACCCCCAGGGAATGGAGGGAGCAGGGCCTGGAGAGAGTTGGGGCTTGCCTGGGTGCCCAGCTGCTGGCCGATGAGGCGCCCCCCACCCCAGCGCCCTCACCTTGCAGGGGGCCTGGTTCTTGGAGTAGGCTGCCAGGCAGATCATGCGGGGGCTGATGCCACCGTGCCAAAACCGACTGTTGTTGCACATCTTGGCGTCCAGCACATGCATATCCAGCTCCTGCAGTGCCCTGGTCAGCTGCCCACCCTGGTGGGTCACACCCCAGCCGGCCACGCTGCACCGCGCTCCTGCGGCCACTGCCTGGCGTCCTCGCGGCAAGGCCAGGGGCCGGATGGTCTTGCTGGGTTTCACCTTCCCATCCAGCTACAGGGAACAGAAAGGGGCAGGTGAGTGCAGGAGGGGACCTTGGGGGAGGGGAACACTGGGGGAGGGGCGATGAGGGAGGGGATCCTGGGGGAGGGACAGCGGGGAGGGGACCCTGGGGGAGGGGAACACCACACTGAGGGAGGGGACCTGGAACCACCATTTCTCCCACTGGCAGCACCTTAAGCAGCGCGAGGTCATTCTTCAGATGGGGGGCTGGCTTGTATTCGGGGTGCAGGACCACCTTCGTGATATGGCAGGTAAGGCCAGGGTCTCCGAGCACGTGGAGCCCCAGCACCAGCCTCAGCAGCTGTGTCCTGGGGGCACAAGATCAGGGTGTGGGCGGCAGCCCTGCAGCCTCAGGGGCACTCGGTGTCCCGCACCCCCTCACCCAGCCTCTCTCTGGGGTCCTTCCCCTGCTACTGCTCAGTCCGTTCTTCTCCCCACCTCCTCCAGTAAGCCTTCCCTGCTCCCACCCCTCCCCAGACTCGGCCCGGCCAGGGGCTTGTGCTGTGTGTGTCTTAAAAATGCTGACCCTCCCTGCCCCCACCACCGGCCTGGGGCTCCAGACAGCGCTTATGTTATGCCTCAACATCAGTGATTTGTTCAGAGGCTGGCAGTGACCTAGCTGGGCCCATCGGGACCTATCCTCATAAACTGGCCCAAACTAGAGAGGAAGAAGCTCTTTTTACAGGACTTAAGGGGGGCCCATCCTTGCCACCATGGGAGAGAGCCTGCCTGATAATGTGGCCAGGGGGCAAGACAGCAGAGTTGAGACACAGGCAAGCTTTTGAGTGCCTCATGGGAGCACCTGGATCAAGCCATGCCTGAAGGCTGCCTCCTCTTAGCATTTTCAGTTACATGAACCAACAGGTCCCTTTTGGTTATTTCACCCAGTTTGATCTGTGGTCTTTGTTACTGGCCAGACCAGAGGTAGGGCAGCTCTGGGATGGGTTGATTTGGTGGCTTCACAATGGCATCAGGGACCCAGGTTCCTCTCTGTGTTGGCCCTGCCACCCTCATAGACCAGCTCTGTCCACATGGCCACAGGTGGGAGATATACTCCTGGGTGTCACAAGGGGCCTGACTCTGTCCACTTGGAAGGTGCTCTGTTGTAGCAGATAAACCATCCCCAGGAATCCTCACGGCCTAATGTCACATACACACGCCTAAGGTCAGTGTCACATACGCACGCCTCAGCAATCACTGCAGAGGGCAAGGGGACCCCCCCCCTACAATGCTACAATTGGCTTAAATCTCTCAGGTGAGAGTGGGGATGACAGGATAGATTTGGGGACAGCTGGGGGGATGGGGGTGGGGCAGGGCAGGGTCACTCACGGATGGATCAGGCAGTGGGCAGCTGTCAACACCCACTGCCGGTGCACGAGGACCCCCCCACACAGGTGGGAGCCGGATTTCTGCAGCGAAACCATGTATGGGTGTGAGTTGGGGGCAGCCTCTCGACCCCCAATGATGTGGGTCTCAAACGTGTTGCCTCCTGGGAATGGGGAGAGAAAAAGCCAGGTTAGGGCTGGGTGCCCCACCTCTGCCATGACCCTGCAACTCCAGCTCTGCAGCCCTGGATGGAATGTTCTGGAATTAGACTATGGGGTTGGTTGCACAGCTCTGAATGCGCTGAAATTCTCTGAATTGTATCCTTTAAATGGGCAAATTGTACAGTATGTGAATGACATCTCAATAAAGCTGCTATAAAAATTGTTCTAAAACCAATCATGAATTAAAAGGATAAAAAAGTGCTCTAATGTGAATCAGCCCCAAATCTTCCTGGGATTCCCCATCATGCTTTAAACATCTAAACTCCTCATGACCCACGAGACACACATCAGCTGACCCTGCTTCCTTCACACTCGCCCTCACCCACTCCAGCACTTGGGCCTCCCTGCTGTTCCTCCAGGGCACTGCCCTTGTTCCCACCTCAGGGCCTTTGCATGTACTGTTCTGGAAGCCTGGAGTGCATTTCCCCCAGACATTCCGAAGTCTGGCTGTCTCACTGGTCTCGGCTCAAAAGTCTTCTCCTCAGAGACCTCTTCCTCTTACTCAGCTCTGTTCTCTTCCAAGCACTCACCCCACCCTGGTGTTGTATCCCACACACTTGCTCACTGCCTGTCTATTCCCACTAGCCTATGAGTGATGCAAGGACAGGCTCTGTGCCAGTCTTGTTTACAACAGGTCTAGTACAATATATGGTCAGCAAATAAGGAAGGAAGCATGAGTGGATGGATGGATGGATGATGGATGGATGATGGGTGATGGGTGATGGATGGATAGAACGAAGGAAGGAAAGAAGGGAGGGAGAAAGGATAGGGGTGGATGGTTGGGTTCCTACCCTGCTGGGTCACCAACTGATCACAGAACTATTGTCATCCAGCCAGGCCGGAAGAGTGGGATGCCCACCACGGCTGTCCTTCCATTTCACGCCTCCAGGTGCCGGTTCTAGCCGCGCATTCATGATTTGGGAAGTCAGGCAGCTGGGGCTTGAATTCCAGCTCCGTCACTCCCTGCTGGGCAACCCAAGCTAGGCGGCCTCACTCTCTGGGCTGTGGTCTCCTGCCCCCGCAAGCTGGAGTTGTGTATAAACATACTAGCACACCCTGCCTCCTGCGTGCTGCTGGGGGGCAAACAGCCTGCATCTGCCCCACATCCTGTGAATCCAGCTCGAGGGTGAGGTGTGAGGAGTACGCTCTACCCTCAGAGCCCCAAAGTCTCCCCTCAAGACAACTACAAGGGGAAATGCTTGATTTCACTTTGGAGAAGCCCGGCCAACCTCAGCTTCTCCAAGCGGTCAAACGGATCCACCAGGACAGGGCGAACACAGCCCCCCTCCGTGGGTCCTGTGGAAACTGCACCACCGGAGCCCAGTCTGGGGACGCAGCTGACAGGCCCACAGTGGCCAGAGGACCCGGGGTACATAGAGACGCTTCCAGAGCTCAGGGACTGAGGACAGCAGGACGACGCAGTGACCCACAGAGGACCCCGTGGCGACAGTTGGAATAAGGTCTGTAGGTGAGCGGATAGGAAGGATGCTGAGAATCTACCAGTCACATAAGGGGCTGTCTTTGTTCTCAGAAGACTCACTGGAGCGCTTAGGGGTGAGGGGCAGCACGTCTGCAGCCCACTCTCAAAGGGCTCAGAAAAAGAATGATAAACATACCTATTTATATTTTACACACACACCCAGGGTCGGGATGTGAGTGGAAGAGGGGATGATAAAGCAACTGAAGCCAAATGTTTACGACTGAGGAATTTAGGGAAGAGAAGATGGAAGTTATCTGCATGATTCCCTTGACTTGTCTGTAAAAGCAGAATTAAGTCAAAAGGAAAAGAATGTAAAATATCTGTCCTGATGGGGCCTCTCCTTTGCCCCAAGGCCTCGCCTCGCCCTCAGGCTTCACTTAGAAGAAGCCCTAACAGCTACTGTAGATAAAACTCACAGACCCTCAATCCACCTGCTAAACTTTCCGAGCCTCCACTGCACTGAGCTGTGAGATGATCTCCTCAGGAAGGGATCATGTGCCCTTAGCAGCCCTCGTCACACTTTTTTTTTTTTTTTTTTTTTTTTTTTTTTTGCGGTACGCGGGCCCCTCACTGCTGTGGCCTCTCCCGCTGCGGAGCACAGGCTCCGGACGGACGCGCAGGCTCAGCAGCCATGGCTCACGGGCCCAGCCGCTCAGCGGCATGTGGGATCTTCCTGGACCGGGGCACGAACCCGTGTCCCCTGCATCGGCAGGCGGACTCTCAACCACTGCGCCACCAGGGAGGCCCCACACTTTTTTTTTTTTAAATGCTTTTTTTGGGTCTCACTTTTTTAAAAAATTGAACTATAGTTGATTTACAATGTTGTGTTAGTTTCAGGTGTACAGCAAAGTCATTCAGTTATAGATATATATTCTTTTTCAGTTTCTTTTCCGATTTTAGGTTATTATAAGATATTGGATACAGTTCCCTGTGCTAAACAGTGGGATCTTGTTGTTCATCTCTTTTACATATAGTACTGTCTATCTGTTAATCCCAAACTCCTGATTTATGCCCCCCCCTTTTTTTTCCCCCACGCCTTGAGGCTTGTGGGACCTTAGTTCCCCCAACAGGCATTGAACCCAGGCCCCGGCAGTGACAGCGCCAAGTCCGAGCCATTGGACTGCCAGGGAAGTCCCACATCCCTCCCATTTAAAAAAATTTATATTATCTTCTCACTAGGTCATCCACGTGCCCCGCACAAAACTGTTGGGGGAAAGTGAAACTCCTTCCCTCCCTCCATGCCTCCCAGCTCTGGAGCCTCCTTCCAGAAATATTCCAGCAAAAGGGAATGGATTCTCACATACTGTCAGAAAAGAAACCCCCAGGACAGCAGGCATCCTCGGCCTTCTGCCCTTTGCTTAACCCACAATCTATTTTCAAGGCTGTTTCAAGGAAAGCCGCCTTGTGCTTTTGGGGCAGCCAACATGTCTTCAGTGGGGTCCCTTCTGAGGACGGGGGAGTTGTTTCCAGTCTCTGTTCTGATGCCCCGTGCCCTGTCTCCCACCCCCAGACCCCAGGTGCCACAGCTCTGGGCCTCAGTTTCCCCACCGCGCTCACCTGCCCACAGGGCTCCCAGGACCGCCAGCAGCAGCAGCATCGGGGATCGCGGGGCCTCCATGATGCTGGCCCCGGGCCCCCAGCGCCACCCACACCCACCCTTCCTGTGGGGGAGGTGACATTCACAGCTCTGGCTGGTTCCACCTCACCCTGAAGTGCCTCTAAAAGATACAGACTCTCTGAAGACAAAACCCCGTCACCAAGATCACACCTGAAAAACTGACGAGAAACCTTCATTAGCATCTACTGTCCCATCATGTTCAAGCTCCCATCTCACACATGGTGTTTTGTGGTTTCAGTGGGATTATCTCCTTGCCCTGTTGTCTTATTGTGGCAAAATACACACACCATAATTCACCATTTTAACCATTTTTAAGCGCACAGCTCAGCGGCACTAAGCACCTTCACATTGTCGTGCAGCCATCCCATCATCATCTCTAGAACTTTCTCAATTTCCCAAACTGAAACTCTGTCCCCAGGAAACACTGACTCCCCACCCCTCCCCCAGCCCCTGGCCCCCACCATCTGCTTCCTGTCTCTGTGGATCTGACTCCCCCAGGAACCCTCTGTGAGTGGAATCAGACAGCATTTGTCCTTCTGTGTCTGGCTTCTCTCACTGAGCATCATGTCCTCAAGGTTCATCCCTGTGGTAGTAGGTGTCAGAATCTCCTGCCTTTTTAAGGCTCAATAATATTCCACCGTCTGGGTGGACCACACTGTTTAGTTTTTTCGTTTTTTGTTTTTCTTTTGGCCATGCCATGGGGCTTGCGGGACCTTAGTTCCCCGAGCAGGGATTGAACCCAGGCCCTCAGCAGTGAAAGCTCAGTGTCCTAACCACTGGACCGCCAGGGAATTCCCTGGACCACATTGTGTTTATCCATCGTCTGTCCATGGACATCTGGGGTCTTCTAGATTTTGGCAATTTTGAAGAAAGATGCTATGAACACTCGTGTGTTATGAGTACCTGGGGGACTCCTGCGAATCCGAGGGTCCTAGCCAGGCTCAGCTAGGTCCTCCCTCCTTCAGTCCACCCCTCTCCTTGCTGCTCCCCGACACCACGTGACCCCAACCAGCCAATCAGAGCACACCCCGTACCCCCTGGCCACAGGGTTTGGTTCAGGGTAGAGGACCACCCTAAGCCCTAAAGCAGCTCAGTGAAGACTGTGGCCCGCATTTCTTCTGGGACTTTTCAGACGGCCCTCACTCTCTGCTGGACTTGGAAAGACGTCACCCTGGGTGTGGGTGGGCCCAAGGCGAGAGGCGTCCACCTGAGAATGAGGCCCACACAGAGGAAGCTGACCACACGCTCAGTGCCTGAAACCACAGTTCTGGAGGCTGCAAGCAGGAAATGGGCTTCAGGGGGCAAAGATCCAGGTGTGGGCCGGCCTGGTTCCTCTGGGGCTACAGGGGAGAATTATTTCCTGCCTTTTCCAGCATCTAGAGACAGAGATGCTGGGATTCAGGCATGGACGTTTTCAGAGCTGTTATTCTGCTGACCACAGGTAGGGGGAGACAAGAGTCAGGGCACAGCCAGCACCTGGCTCCAGCTGTGCCTGAAACTCCCGCCCTGTCAGTCACAGAAGCCAGTGAAATTCTCCTGCACTTGAGTCAGTGTGATGAGTCAAGCGTTCTTCCCTCTGATACTGAAAGGGTTGTGATAAATAAAGAAGACGTGGATGAAAAATGGGTCACAGAGGCGGATGAGATCGCCCCGATGCTGGGGCTCTGAGGCCAGATGCAAACCGTCCACCTCTCCTCTGACTGCGTCTGGCACACGAGGCTAAGGTTGTCTTCACCCAGGAGGGCTTGTGAGGCCAGGATTCAGTTTAAGAAAAATGAGTATTTATAGGGTGTTCACGTGTCCTACCTTGTTTAATCTTTCTAATAACCCCAGGAAGTAGGTTTCATTGGTATTGGGGGGCAGGGGAGGGCGCCATATTCTGGCAACTAAGAAGAGACGAATTTCAGATACACGACAAGTAACTTTTTGGTATGATTACGTCCCAAACATTACATGGGATGATCTTAGAGTAAAAACAGTTTGTTTACCTGAAATCCACGTTGAACCAGGCAAACCCAACGCTGAGGCCCCCGGGTGGGAGCACAGGATCCCGAGGCCCCGGTGCGAGGCAACTGTGTGCACAAGCTCCTTTGGATCTGGGGACAAGAGCTGGGCGTTTACACCCCGGCTTCCATCCTCAGATGCTCCCTAGAGGGTGGGTCCTCAACCCCTCCCCTTGGGTCTGGGGGCTCACGCCTGTTCCCATCTGTCCTGTGCAGGGCAAGTGGCACCGCGTGACCCTAGGGCTGGTGGGCACTGGCCTGGCTCCTGGGCCCTCATCCTCCCGGCCCTGAGGCTCTGGTCATCTAGGCGGTGGGGCAGTGACATGCACCCCTCCCTCCCCACACCCATGTGACCCCGACCCACACAAGCCGAGCGTGATGAAGGGTGAACACCGAGTCTGGATCTGTTTGTTACAGAAGCCTGGGGAAGGGGAGAAGGAGTCCCAGGGGAGCAGAGGGGCTGGACCCACAGGCCCAAGGGTGGTGGCAGGTGGGGTAAACTTCCCCGTAAACGCCCAGACGGTATTTCTGGCTTTCGGCACAGACGCTAGGTTGCAATCACTCAGTTCTAAAGCTGCCGCTCAGAAGCAGCCAAATGTAGGGGAAGAAATGGGTGTGGCTTTGTTCCAATAAAACTTTATTTTTGCCCAGGAGCTGGGGCTTCGGACCCCCGGGGCCACCCCTCGGCCCCAAGAACACACCCCAGGCCCCCACCTGGCCAGACCCCGGTCTCTGCGGCCCCTCCCCCCAAATCAGCAAACCTGACAGGAGACCCCTGGGGAGCTTCCAGGTTCGGAGGGGCGGCTGCCGCCTGCCTGTCTCGGGTCACATGCATGGCACCAGGGCCTGCGTCCCCGCCTGGGCCCCGTTGGCCTCACGGCCAAGGAGAGGTTGGTCCTCGGGCTTCTCATAAAGTCGCTTTATTTAGATTCCAAACAACCGCAAGCAGAGAAGAGGTGACCCCGAGTCAATCTGTCCGCTCTCAAGCCGGGACCCCGAGTCTCTGGCTCCAGCTGGTGGGTGGGGCGGGCGGGCCAGGGTCCCCGAGCGGCGTCCGGCCCAGGCGGGGCCGCGAGCGCAGCGGCCTCCCCGGAGGCGGAGGGGACAGGGCGGACGCAGTGTCCGGAGGTAGTGGCGGCGGCAGAGAGTGGGCGGCTGAGGTAAAATCTGTCAGTTTATTTGCGGAAACGCGGGGTCAGGACTCCTCGGTGCCCGAGTCGTCCTCGTCCCCGAAGCAGCTGTCGGCCTCGGCCTCGGCCTCGGCATCCTCGTAGTAGTCGTCGTAGAAGAGGTCCGAGCCCTCGTCAGGCGCTGGGGCCTTGGTCTTCACACAGTACTCGGCCAGCGTGGTGGGCACCTTCACGCCGTCCCGCTCCGCGTCCACCTTGGTCCCCAGGACCTGCTTCCTGAGGAGAGAAGTGGGGTCTGCCTCATTGCGGCCGGCAGCCCTGGGGCCCCCGCGCTCGCTCCCGTGAAACAACACAGGACAACCGGGGCGACGGCCGGGCCATGGGGGCCAGCGACAGGATGGCGGGGCAGAGCAGACGGGCCCAACCACTCATGGTCCCCGCGTGTGCACGGGCCTCTGATCACACACGCGCGCACAGACACGAGCACACACGTGTGGGAGGGGGTGGAACGCGGGCTCTGAACCAGGATGAGGGCTGTGCAGACACAGGGAGGGTGTCGGCTCATCAGGAAGAGAAGTGCATTTCGGCCCTGGCCGCTGAGGTCAGGCGAAGTGGGAGCAGCCACGGCGCTGGGCTGGGTCAGGGTGGAGGGTGGCGGGTGGGGTGGGCGGGGTCGCTCAGCAGCCCCAGGGGAAGGGCCAGCCACTGGGAGGCGCCCGTGGCGGGACTCGGCACACCCCCACCAGGCTGGGGTCCCGGGTCCTCTCCTCTCTGTACTTGAGCGTCTTCCTGTCACCAGCACCGTGTCTCCTGCATGCGCTTTCCATCCAACTGACGGTAGCTGGCAGGAGCTCTGACCGCACCTGCTGCGCCTGGGGTCCCACCACCCGACAGGGCCGGTGGGCTTTCTGGAGCTCCCGCCGTGGGGTCGTGCGGCTGGCCCACGGGCACAGGTCCCCACAGCTGCGTGGACACGGTGGGTGAGCATGCGCCTGGATGCGGGTGAGGACGGGAACTGTTTCCCCGGGTGAATGCTGGGCCTGGGGGGGGGGGGCCTGGGTCGTCATGGAGACGTGTCTGACCTACTCCCTTTTCCAAGAGGCAAATGACAGACTAAAAACCTCTTTGGAGGAGACTTAGTGAAGCGTTTAGTTTGTCACGAAACAAGTCACAGACCCCAGGGGCTCCTAGAGCAGCTCACGGGACACAACAAACACAACAGGGCAGAGAGCGCAGGCCCCTGGGGAATGTTTCACACAGACTCCCCTGCGAGGCCGGGCACCTGCCTGTTGACGGGGAAAAACAGAAAACAACAGAAATGAGAGGAGCTCATCCTGGCAAACTCCTAAGTGATGCGCTGCTTTTATAACCAGGAGAAACTGACTTTTCGTCAAAGAAGTTATCTCCTAAACACGCTCATACCACACGGCTTTGCTGCCTTTAGAGAATAACTCCAAGTTTCAAAATTGCGACATTCACTCCCGTTAGGTGAAATGATGGAACACCCCGCACAGCACGGTCCCGGAGGAGACCGCGTGGGGAAAAGCACGGGGCCACGCACACGCGTGCACGCCCCAGCACGCAGGGTCCGCGTACACGGGGGATGGGGGGTACCGGTGGGATCTCTGACCTTACAGTGTCAAAGCAGAAGGATGTGGCAAGACCCTGCTAGATCCTGGCGGACACCAGGGCGTTTATCTCTGTGTGAGGTGCATGCACCCACATGCCACGCACACGAGACACGCACACACACACGGCACGTCCACACACGATAGTACATATGTGGGCCACACGCTTCACAAGAGAAAGACCCCAGCTTTTCCGGCAAGAGGAGGAGGGCTCAGGAGGGGCCACCCTGCCTCCCCAGGCCCCAGGCCCACTCACCGGATGATGTCCGTGTACTCGCGGTCCTTGCCTTTGCTTTCTTTCCACTTCCTGTACATCACGGAAGCGTCCACGTTGGCCGGTGAGAAGGTGTTGGGCTCGTTGAGGAGGGAGATGACGCTCAGGAGGATGGTCCTAGGGGAGGCGGCAGGAGTCGGCGTGGGGGGTCCACGGCCCAGGGGCTGCCTGCCCGGGAGCCTCATGCCCCGAGCCGGCCCGCCACCCTCCACCTGCCCTCTGCGGCGTGCCAGGCTCCTGGGACGGGACATGGGTGGACAGCCAAGGCCAGGACCATCTTCCTTCCGCTGGAGCAGGCCTGTCCCCTCCCTGGGGCACCCTGCCTGGAGAGTGGGTCCCCTGTGCCACTCATTCCCGCTCCAGCCTGGGGAGGAGGAGAGTGCCCGGGCCGCTCAGGGTGAGCACAGCACCAGGGGATGGAAGGGCTGTGCTCCCTGGGGCTCGAGGAAGGAGGGGGGACCCCAGGGGCACGCAGACACGGCCACAGGAGTCCCAGAGACCATTCCTGAAGGTGGGTGGGGCAGGGATGGCAGGAAATGGAGAAGAGGCCGGCAGGGATGGGGGCTCTGGCGGGAGGTGGCTCCCACAGACGCTGCCACCCCACAGGGAGCTGCATCCTCCCGTGTCCACGTCCCCAGGGCTGGCCTGCCCGACGCCGGCTGCCTCACCTGACGTTCTGCGTGGGGTTCCACCGCTCCGAGGGCAGCTCCCCGCTCTGGGGGTCATCGACGGGGGGGTGGAGGATGGAGATGCACACGTCCCCAGTCTGTGCGGCACGGGGGGGTCAGCACCCATGAGGCTCCCGTCCACACGCCCCCCGCCCCACCCCGCCCCCTGGAGGAGCAGGCTCACCTCGTAGATGTTGGGGTGCCACATCTTGGTCAGGAAGCGAAAGGCCGGCGGAGAGTAGGGGTAGTCAATGGGGAACTTGAGGCGCGCCTGGTGGGGGAGAGCAGAGGCTCAGCCAGGGCCGGGTCAGGCCGCCCGAGACCACACACAGCAGTCAGCCTGGGACTCGCCTGCCTCCGGCGCCCCTCACGGGCCAGGGGCTTTTCGGGGTCACCGAGCTGAGCTGACGACCCCGGTCCCTGCCCTGCTGTCAGTGGCTGGGGGCGGTGGGGGGGGGGAGTGTGTGGGCACTCGCCGGGGTGCAGCTCCAGGCCCGTCCCAGCCCAGGCCTCTGGGGGGACCAGAGCCCTGGCCCCAGGGAGCATGGTGGGCCCAGTCCTGGGAGCCGGGTGCCCAAGCACCGCGCTGGGCTCCCAGCCTCAGTCTCCAACCTGTGGGGAGGATTAAAATAGATGGGTGTTCACTGGGCAGGCGCCGGGGGCGGAGATGAGTCAGCACCAGGCGGACAGGCTCTTTGCCCGCAGGTGTCAGTCCTGGGGGGTCAGGAAGGCAAACGGGAAGGTCACGGGCAGACGGGGGAGGGCTGCGAGGGAGAGTTATGCCCCGGCCTCGCCTGTTTAAGCCCCAGTCCTGGGATCCTGATGGTGCTTCAGGCTCTCGGGGCCAACGTGGGACAAGAGGGGGCTGCAGGGCCCCCCATCTTTAGAGAATCGTCCTCCTGGGCAGGGGGCGCTGGGGGCACTCGGGGGAGGGCCCTCTGTTCTGGAGTGAACGTGTTGAGGCCTGAAGTCAGTCTGGAACTTGGGCCTCAGACCCTGCCCCTTGGTCCCGCCAAGCCCAGGGCTGCGTTTCTAAGTGAAGACAGAGACCAGCTGAGGCCTCCTTAGCGGAGTAGGGGGACAGGCCTCCCCTCACCAAACACCCATCAAGTCCCAGAGATGCCTTTACTGCTGTGCCAACTGAGGCTCAGAGAAGGAGAGTACCTTGCCTGAGGGCACACAGAATGCAGCTGTGGAGGGGCTCCCCAACCCAGGTCTCTGGGGCACCCCTCAGCACACGCTGCCCGGAGCCCCTCTGGCTTGTAAGGGGGAGTGGGTGAGGCTGGGCGGGCTGAGAGGAAGGTGCTGGAAAGCGATGGTGCCCCCTGGGCACTTCCAGCCCCTGTGTTTCCACATACTTCCCCCCACTTCCCAGCCAACCACATCAGAACAAGAGAATGTGAGGGTGGCAGAACCACTGTGGGTCCCACGCTGCCTTCCTCGAGGACAGACTCTCGCGGCAAATGCGATCAGATTTGTGGCGCCCCTCCCTAGCCCAGGTTTCTAGAATAACAGGATCATCCCCCCAAAGCCAGCCTGGAAGGTCCTACCCACAATCCCTTGCAAACAGTGGGCAGTAGCCAGAAACCCACGTCCTTTCCTTTCCTTCCAGTCCAGCACCCTTGCTCAGAGTCCCGGCCTGGCCTCAGGATGGGACTCATGCTATTCCAGCTCTGAGTGGGGCCCTTATCCTCACAGCCAGCTGCTCCCAGATGCAGACAAAAGAGGCTAGGGGACGAGGGTTGGTTAAACCATTTGGGGACCAGCCCCCAATCCAAGTCCTGCACAGGGAAGACGGATTCCACATCAGAACTCAGCCCAGGGCTGTCCATGCTCATCCCCCCATCCCACCCCAGCAACAAGGGAATCTCAACTCAAGAATCACCCCAGCAGGCCAGCCTGCCCCCTCCAGGCCCCTGAGCAGGCGTGGCTAAAATGTTAGCCAAAGCTGCAAACACAGACATCTGTCCGGGCAGTGCCAGCCCTGCCCCACCACCGCCCGGGCCTCCCAGCCTGGCCGCTGGGCTCTTGGCAGGCAGCATTGGGGGTGTTCCAGCTGAGGGCCCAGGCTCCGCTTCTCTTACAAGGAGACCCCCTGTCTTGTCCGTCTGGCTCGAGGAGCAAAGTCCTTTGATCTGGGAGGGGTCCTGCCAAGACCACATCTGGACTCATATCCTGTCCAGGTACTGGCCTGAGTCCTCGTCACACTTGTCAGAAACACAGCCAGCCCCCGGGACAGCCCTGGCCTCCCCGCTCACAGAGCGCCCAGAAGCAACCCAGGGCGGGAGACGTGGGGCCCAAGAAGCCGCCTGCTCAGAGGAACCTGAGAAAGGCCAGCCGGGGCACAGAAGAGCCTAAGCTTCTGAGGCCGGACCTGGGTGGGCTCTGTGGTGTGGCTCCCGGGGACAGGGCTGAGGGTGGGAGCGACGGCCGGACAGAACACGTTACATAAGGCTCAGGATGAAGCCCAGAGGGCTTGGCCCACTGCTATCGGCCAGGGTGGCCGCTTTCCAAGCAGGTCCCGGCTGCCAACCCCATCCGGGCCTTTGTTGGAACCCGAGCCAGTGGCCGAGCCAGCCCCCAGGCGGGGGGCCTCCCTCCCTCCCAACAGTGCTGGCTGGTTCTGGGGAGGCCTCTTTGTCCGCTCCGGGCAGCGGGCAGGGCCAGGAGGAGGGGGACGGGCACCAGAGGCTGGGGGAAGCAAAGGCCCCGCACCCAGAGAAACAGGGAGGGTCCCGGGCCTCCCCTCTGGGGACATGAAGCGGCCTTAGAGGGAACAGGCGCTTCTCGGGGACTCCTAGGGCCAGAGGGGTTGACCAAGGGCCCCTAGCTCGCCAGAGGCGGCCAGGCAGCGGGGCAGAAGGAAGGGGCCCCGGGAGGAGGAGGGACAGAGGATGGGGGCCCCGCGAGGAGAAGAGGGAGAGGGAAGGAACCCCGTGAGGAGGTGAGACAGTGAGAACGGGTCCCACCAGGGGAGAGGACGGGGGCAGGGGGCAGAGGTGGGGAAGGGGCCCCGAGGAGCCGGAGGAGGGGGTCGCTGCCCCCTGACCCCGCCGCTCACCTTGAAGTAGCCGCCCTCGTAGTAGGTGTTGGGGGGCCCGAAGATGGCCACCTCCCAGTTGTACAGGTCGCCCTCGTCCACCAGGGTCACCCGGAAGCCCTCCACCGGCTCCTCCTGCAGCCCCTTGAGCTCCAGAAGCAGGGCCTTCTGCGAGCTGGGCACCAGCGGCCGGGCCATGGCGGCGGCGGACGAGCCCGGGGCCGGGGGCGCTTGGGGCCGCGGGGCCGTGGGGGCACGGGACGGGCCGGGGCCGGGGCCGCCTTCTTCGTTCACCGCCCGGAGCCGCCGGGCGCTCCAGTAGCTCTGCACCGCCGCCCGGCGCTCACCTCAGCCTCCGCGCCCCGCCCCCGCCGCCCGCGCTTGCGCTCCGCCCGCCCTGACCGCGCCTGCGCGCCCCTCCGCGGGGCACGCCGGGAAGCGATCCCTACCACTGCCGCCGAGCGGGCCGCCGGGAGCCGGGGGCTGCTCCCGTAGGCCCTTTGCCGTTCACGACACCCTGGGAGGCCGCCGCTGCCGCCCCAGCTCGGACGAGCGGCCGGGACCCCTGTGCGCGGGGCCGCGGGCAGGGCTGCGCTGCGCCGCCCGGCTCGGCCCGCCGCGCTTTTGTGGCCTTTTTGTGACGTCCCGTCGCGGGGCGGGGCCGGGTCGGAGCTGTCCGGAGCCTCAGTTTCCCCGGGGGCGCTGGAGCCAGGAGGGCCCCGCCGCTCGCAGCCCCTCCCCACTTGGCACGCCTCTGCAGCGTGGACTCGGCACCCGTCCTGGCCGAACCCCAGACCAGAGCCCTGACCCTCCCTGGCTGTGCCCGCGTCTCAGGCCGACCCTTGACCCCACCCTGGGCTTCACCCGGACCCTGCCAGAGCGCTGACCTGGCCGCGCCCCGGGCCCGGACACCCGCACAGCTCTGGGTCGGAGAGTTGGGATGGGGCCTGGCCTCCATCCCTGCACGTCCGCAGGTGACAGCTCCCCACGAGGGTGGGCGTGGCACTCGAGGCCTGTGGTGGCCTTGCTGGCAGGTGACCCGGGCAGCCAACAGTTGCACCAACACCTCGGGCTGAGCTGAGCTGATTTCCTCCCCTGGCTGCCCCGACACCTGGCCCTGGGCTGGTCCCCGCTGAGGACAGACAGGTAAACCCGTCTGGGGAAGGAAAACAATATATCATCTGTGGGGATGGAAGAAGGAGTCTGAGAAAGCCCTGGGCATAGCAGCAGCTTCATCAGTAAGGGGGCTCTGCCCTGCACCCCGAGGGACCTGGAGTGGCCCGTCACCTTTAAAGTGGATTGCACACCCCTGTTTGTCCACTGTTCCAAGCGTTCCCTGTCCCTCACGTTCTGCCCCTCATTCTCTGTCCATAGCACCAGTGTCATAGCCTCGGCATGTGGCAGCTTGTTGATGAGTAATAATTAGAATTAATTATGATTCTTCCAGAGAAGCTTCCCAAGATGTCTCCCTGCGTACACCCCACAGGAGTTATCGCAGGAGTTATTGGGTGAGTGAGGGCAGCCCTGGAAATGTAAAGAGAGGTACCAGGTTTATGGCCCCCTCCAGCTGGTCCCACATGAGGCCTTGTCCCCCAGGAAAGCCTGCACCTCAGGCTCTGAAACATCCTGAGGTGGTGGACATCTGGGGTTTCTACCTGCCCATTTTCTGGCCAAAGCACCTGCATTTTCCCATGGGGCTACCACTCTTAGTCTGCAAGGTTCCAGTTGGACTGATCGTCAAGCCCTGGCTGCAGGCATGGGTCCTCCAATCAGAGTACCCTAGGCCCCCTGGTTGGTTCAGGAACAGCACGTGACTTGGCCTTTTTCTGGGGACACGATGCTGCTGAGATGTCTGAGCTGGGAGAACCTGGGCCTGGAGCTATAGGACCGTCTCGTCACCACAAGGCCTGTGAACAAAGTTGGCGCTCAGGAAAGCTGAGCCAACTGATGAGAAAGTGCTGAACACCCTGTTTGTGCTCCTGGATCCAGCCATGCCTGGCCTCCCCTTGCAATGGTACAAGTCAATAAATTACTTCTTTTCTTATTAAGCCAGTTTGAGTTGACCCTTCCATCACATGCGACAGAAGAGCCCTCAATTCAAATCTAGGTCTGCCATGAACTTGGAAATGGTCCTCAAGTGTAGACTTGTAAGATAATGAACTTGTGTTGTCGTGGGGTTTTCTGAGGTTTTTTTGTTGTTGTTGTTGTTGTGTTGTTTTGTTTTTGCAGTGGTTTGTTATGACAGCTACAGGAACTGAATACCCTCGCTTCTATGAGCGTCAGAGTCTTCCTCTGGAAAATTGATTAATTAATTCATGGCCTTCCACAGACAAATCTAGGTGCTGGGGGTACAGCAGTGAATAAAATATGTAAAAATCCCTCCCCTTGGGGAGACAGGGAGAAAGGACATAAACAAGCTGTTACATAAGTAAGCAACTTCTGATAGCAATAATTGAAAAAAAGTAAAGGACAGTGAGGCATTAGCAACGGGAGTGGAGCCGGAGAGTTATCTCGGATAGGGGCTCAGGGGAGGTGCCTCTCAGGAGGTGGCATTTGAGTGGGGACCAGAATGGGGTGAGCCCCTTGGGTCTGGAGGAGCAGGGTTACAGGGAAAGGGAACAGCGCGTGCAAAGGCCTGAGGTAGGGACAAGCCGGACCAGCTAGAGACCAGTGTGCCTGGGGCAGAGTGAGGGGACAGAGTCAAGGAAAAAAGCTGGGGAGAGTCTCTCTGCTCAGCTTTCCTGAGTGCTCACTGTGTTCACAGGTCTTGTGGTGACCAGATGGCTCCAGGATCCAGGCCCAGGTCCTCCCAGCTCAGCCACCCCAGAAAAAGTCCCAGGGCTGCATCTCATTGGCCAGCTGGGAGTCATGTGCTGTTCCTGAACCAAGCACTGAGGCCAGGGTGCCTGGAGCACTCCTACTGGCTGGTGGGGTCGCCCAGGGCAGTGAAGATGAGGGCTGGACCAGTGTGGGGAGGCGCAGGCAGGATGAAGCTATGATGTGCAACCTACAGGATGCAGAGAAGGGCCAGCTGAGGGGACAGGGGAGGCATCCAGGCTGAGCCCTGGTCCTGGGTGGACTGGGGGATTCCTTGGAGACCACAGACTCCAGAGGAGCCCCAGGGTCAGGAGGGCTGACCAGAGGCTCTGTCCTGGATGTGGCAGGCCTGGGATGTCCTTGGGATGTCCCTGAGGAGACGCCCAGCAAGTGGTTGGCTCCCCAGGGCTGGAGCAGAGCAGGGCTGGGCCTGAGATGTGAATTTGAGACTCCTTGGTGACCAGGCAGTAATGGAAGCCATGGCCTGGATGAGATGCCATGTGAGGAGGAAGCATGAGGAAAGGAGAGGAGAGGTCCCTGACACAGAAGGAGGACGCCTTTCCCCACGGAAGCTGGGGAAGAGGAGCCTTCAGGGTGCTGTGGAGTGAATGCTATGGGGGCGCGGGGTTTGGAAGGCAGGGAGGCCAAGCGTCCACACTGCTGTGAGGTCAGATAAGCAGGACAGCTCAGCCTCTCCAGGCTGTGCCTGTAAAGGTCAAACCAGGGATTCAGGATCCAAGACCAGGCGTGATGGTGACTCAGGGGTGGCAGTGAGGGAAGGTGGTGGGGCAGGGAAGGTGACCCCAGATGGAGTTGGCCTCAGCCTGATCCGGGGGGGACCCTGGAATGTGAGTTAGCGTCCCATGAGGCAAGCGGACCAGCTCTTGGATCCCCTGGTGGTCACTGGCCACTCCTGCCCCAGATGGGGGGGGATGAGGCCTCCTGGGCCACATGGCTTGGTCTCTGGTGGGGCAGATGGGAAGGGGATCTGGTGGCACCAGTGACACCTGCTACACGCTGTCTAGTCCAGGGGACCACAGAGCTGACCGGAGGCTGCTGGAGCCCATGAGTCCACCTGCACTGCGCATTTCATGCAGATGCCCTGCCCGGCCGCAAGCTCCATGCCGCAGGGGCCTCAGCACAGCTTGCTCCCCGAGGCCATCCAGCCCCCTAAGGGTCTTAGCCTGCTGACACGCGGCCCATTTCCTGTGTGCGGTGTCAGTAACAGCTAATGCTGAGGGAGGGGGGCACCTTTGTGAAGCTACTGGTTATGTAACAAATGACCCACAAACTTCGTGGCTTGAAATGGTAACATTCATTCATTTAGCTGCAAAGCAGGAGTCTCCAGTCAGGAACCTCTGTGTGGCCTGTGCTTCTTCAGGCTACTGCGTGGCCACCGCATCCCCTGGAAGCCGAGTACTGTCACAAAAGCCACCAAGTGCAAGGAGAGGGGATGCAGATTCCACCTCTTACCTGCCTCTTTAGGGGGCTGGGAGATTCAAGAAGAGCAAATGGGAACAGAAAGGAAGCGGTGGCTGCTTTTGGAAAACACAGCGAAACTCACTGGTTTATCGATTACCAGCCAAGGGCAGGTGCTGGGAAATGGGAGGCTAGGTGGTCCCTGCCATTGGTAGCTCGAAAAAGGCTTTAGATTCTGTCCCCGTGTGATCTCCCTCAATCAAAATCGGGGTGCCCTGGGTCCCATTTAACAGAGGAGGAAACTGAGGCCGAGAGTGAACTTACCTGCCTGCAACTGTCCTGGGCTGGGAATCTGCTTCCTGCGGAATCCTCCGTCCAGGATGTGCTCCTGCTGGCGGAAAGGGGGACACCCAGGGTGCTTGGTGACTCTAACGGGTGTGCCTGGATCCCGGACGGGCCCCGTGGCGGTGGTGAAGGCGCTGTGGCTCTGGGTTACAGAGCGCGGGCCCGGGTTCGGATCCCTGCTGGCCCCTTGCTGGTGCTGCGACCTTCACTCCTCTGGGCTTGGTTTCTCCATCTGCCAAATGCGGGCAGTGGATTACCTTCCGTATAGGGCGGCGGTGAGTCAAGACATTGTCAGGTCTCAGACGTGTTAGCTGTTTCAATCGTCACCATCATGACTACCTGCCCAGCTGACCTCTCCCTTTGGCGGTTGGGGAAGCCGAGGTCCAGGGAGGAACTGCTGGGGCGGGGCGCTCGTGGAGGGCAGGCTGGGGGCCAGCCATGCCTCCCAGGTCTCGGGGCTGTGCCTCCAGGGCACCTCGCTGGGTGCCCCAATACCCTCTGCTCTCATAAAGCTGAGTCCAGGGTCTCCGTGGGGTTTCTGGGCAGTGGTGGGACCCGCTGGGGCTGGCCAGGGTGCGCCCGAGTGGAGAGCGTTTCCAGAGAAGCGTGCTGGGGGCTGGACACGGGTGCGCACACACACACACACACACACCAGGTCAGTCTGGGGAACAGATTTTTATTTCTGCTGAGGAGAGGGGCCTGGGCAGGCGGGCGGGAAGGGATCCTTGGCCTACCCGCGAAGGGGGCTTGGGCATCATTCCAGGCGGGAAGCTGGGTGAGGGGGCTCCCTGCACCC